TTCAATGGGCCATATCTTAAATGATTATTATATCCAACTTTATTTGTGGCATATAGGAATCTCTGTCATGGACCAGGATCGCCCTGTACAAACTCATGACTGTCTTTGCTCCAGAGAGCTCCCAGTCTTTTTATTAAGATAAAAACCAGGTGGCTACAGACAGAACAAGACAGTTTCAGGAAATAGCTTCTTATTTTGGGCTGTCAGGCAAATAATTTTCCATAGTTTAATTTAAGATGGAATTAAAATATTTGGGTTTGTTTTTGTGTTTTTATTTATTTATTTATTTATTATTATGATCAAAGCTTTGTTTGGTACACAATCCAGATTTGGTCTTTCATTTGAGAACAGTATCTCATGGAAGAGAAAATGTCTCATTAAAAGCAAAAATGATATATAGCATCTATTAATCAATGGGATGGAAATGCTCTATGCCCTGAACTCAAAGTGTTGAAATGTATCTCTTAAGGATCAATATTGTTTCCAAGTAACTAAAGTAAAATCAATACCAGACATAGACTTCATTTTGGTTACAAATCATTAAGTTCCAGTGTTTGGTGAACTTATAACTACAAACAAAGCTCTCTCTAACTGGCTTTAAAGAATAAAATTTACTCCGTTAACCCCTTTAAGTTTTACTGTTTTATATACAGCATATGTTTCTAGCAAAGCTTCGTTCCTTGAAGAGCTATTGCTGTGGTTCCTACTGTGAACCATTACGCAGAAAAAGGTGTAGGCAGCATTCTGCTCCAAAGTACATCTCCTTAATATATTATTGAGGGCATCAAGCTGCCTTTTGAGCTACGGGTGTTGTAGTAAGGGGAAAGGAGGAGCACACCAGGGACAACTTCTGCTGTGCAGAAAAGTGCTAACAGAAGTGCGTTGCTGACATGATGCCCCACTGGAGTGTGGTCTGCTGCCCAGCGCCTATCTTGCTAGCTTATTGATTGTGAGCAGGATCCAGGATCTTGTGCTGCTTTGCTGTTCCGCTCTGCTGGATATGGTGAACTGGAGCCAATGGGAGCCACGAGGGTCTGTAGCTATGGACCCTTTAGGTAAACAAAGTGGTGTGGGTCCACTAGCAGCTTTCCCAAAGTGGGTCCAGGGAACACCCTGAGAAACACTGCTCTGCTTTATTGTAGCAGAGCTGAATCTAAGCACGTTTGTGACACATTGGCCCTGAGAGACAGTGGCTTTGTGGGTGGCCTATGGTACATTGCAGCTACATAATTTCCAGTAGTTTGTTATTTTTTTAACTCAGTGGCTGCCCTGGAATACTATCTGCTATATTTTAAATAATTCCACACCCTGAGCACCTGTTCAGCACTGGAGATGCACAAAAATAATGGACTCCCTTTTCTTGCACTCAAGATAATCTCATCTGAAGAAGTGGGTTTTGCCCACAAAAGCTCATGATACTATTTTTGTTGGTCTCTAAGGTGCCACAGGACTACTAATTTTTTAAATAGTTACCGTTAAAGTTACAGACTAACTCGGCTACCCTTCTGAGATCTTTACAAAAAGTAAATGGTCCATTATGAAACTATCAACATAAACGAGGACCTGAACTGCATAAACGAGGACCTGAACTTCCATATGCATTTAGCTGATGCATATGGAAATAAGGTGCTGCTGTTTCGTTCTAGCTTGGTTAATTTTTCCTGGGAGTTGGTATTGTTTTTTACTTCATTATTTTTTTTTTCAGACTAAGTTACTGAGCAAAGAGAAATTAAAAACAGGCTGCAGAATTTTCAGTTTCCTGCTGCTGGTTTCTCTAATGTCTGACAGAGACTTGGACTTCAAGGTACAGAGGAGTTCTGTAGGCCTGGAACATAAATACCTTTTCATTTTTATAGTTATGCAATATTTTGTTCTGTGCTTGTCTCCTGACATGAACCTCCCAGCTCCTCAATAGAGTGCCCATTCCTGTTTTTTTTTTTTTTTTAAATCTCTGAACAACTCAGGAGACAATTCACAGCTGCCACCAAGCTGGTATGTCAGCTGTGCAATTAAAATGCCAGCACAAAACCAGATCCAATACTGAGAGTAACCGAGACTTAAAATTGTGAATGTAAATTTGACAAACCTGTTGAAAGAAGAGAGACTGCAAGAAAATTTCATGAAGCCAAGGAGATGATTATTAGCCCTGAGTGAAAATGGTAATTTGAGAGTGTTCTTGTAAATGAAACCTGATGATTTGATTTGCTGTTATCACATCCCCTTTCACTCATGTATTTGTGGACATCTAGTTGAGGTAATTTTTATTCACAAGAAAAAACATGCAAGACAAACCTCCGTTAATACTCATACGTTTGTGAGGGTATACACACCAGAAGAACTCATCAAGCTCTTCCAAAAGCTTTCCTCCATTTGCCCCAAAAGCCCCAACCAACCAACCAACTTGTTATAAACAATTACATGCAAATCACAACCTGCCTGTGGACAATTTGCAAACATAAAAAGAAGACCTTTTTACAAACTGTTGTTAATTTAAGGAGGAAACAAATCATGTAATTAAAGTCATCTTTCAGTGTAGCGGTTGAGTAGATGTGGCAAACAGTTTGTGAACAAGCCATAGGCCAAACTTTTTAAATAAAGCGATTTGAATAATTACTAATGTGTAAAAATAATGGATACATGAATCTGTGACCCTTATGTTTTTATATAGCATCTCTTGTGGCACCAGAGAAAGAGAGAGAGAGATGTATTGTGAACAGAAAAAAGGGGAAAGTAACTTGACAAAATTTCTACAAATAGTTCGACCAGTTAAAACATATTATTGACTTTGTGTGCAGAGCTTACGGAAGTGTACGTACAATGCAATTCACTGTGAGCAATAAACTGTTTCTCTCTCTCTCTCTCTCTTTATGAAGAGTTGTACATTCTTCTGGTCAGTTTTTCTCTATTCTTTTTTACCTTAAATGTTGCTTATTCAAAAAGAATTTTATTTCCTTTCTCCCTCTCTTTCATTAATGTAAATGTTATGGGAGGTCATGTTTAAAAAATGATGCCTGATCATAATTTTTAGCACAAGAGGTAATGATTAATCAACCTTGTCTCCTTCATACAGCTTACTGAAGAATTATTTACATTTAAATACTCTGAAATGATAAACTAAATCATTAGCTCCCACGGATTGAAAATGCAGATAACTCTCTTCATTACAGAGAGAGAGAGAGAGAGAGAAAGCTTTTTCTCTTATGAGTCATTATTCCTCAGAATAAAGACAGTCTAGGCTTTTTTGTGGGTGGCTGGGTCTAACTTTTTCAGGCTTATAATCTTAAAATACTACCCTTTTGTTTATAAGAAACACTCAAGCTGCTACTGATTTGGTTGTTAGAAATGTCATAGAATCATAGAACACTAGAACTGAAACAGGTCATTGAATCCAGTCCCCTGCCCTCACGGAAGGACCATCCCTGATAGGTGTCTATCTAACCTGCATTTAAATATCTCCAGAGATGGAGAATCCACAACCTCCCTCAGCAATTTATTCCAGTGTTTATCCACTCTGGGTATGTCTACACTACCACCCTAATTCAAACTAGGGTGGTTAATGTAGTCAATCGAAGTTGCAAATGAAGTTGCAAATGATTTAAATATCCCAGGCTTCATTTGCATCTTGCCGGGCGCCGCCATTTTTAAATCCCCAGTAGTGCGGACTCCGTGCCCATGGCTACACGCGGCATGGAGTAGATAGTTTGAATTAGGCTTTCTAATTCGAACTACCGTTACTCTTCGTGGAACGTGTAGCCACGGGCACGGAGTCTGAACTACCGGGGATTTAAAAATGGTGGCGCCCGGCAAGATGCAAATGAAGCCCAGGATATTTAAAGAAGCCCGGGATATTTAAATCCCGGGCTTCATTTGCAACTTCGATTGACTACATTAACCACCCTAGTTCGAACTACGGTGGTAATGTAGACATACCCTCTGATAGTGAGCAATTTTTTCCTAATGTCCAGCCTAAACCTCCCTTGCTGCAGTTTAAGCCCATTGCTTCTTGTCCTATCCTCTGAAACCAAAGACAACAATTTTTCTTTCTCCTCCTTGTGACACCCTTTTAGATCCCTGAAAAAATCCTATCATGTCCCTTCTCAGTCTTCTCCTTTCCAAACTAAACAAGCCCAAGTCTTTTAGTCATGTTCTCTAGACCTTTAATCATTCTTGCTGCTCTTCTCTGGACCTTCTCCAATTTCTCCACATCTTTTTTCAAATGTTGTGCCCAGAACTGGACACAATACTTCAATGGAGGCCTGATCAGCGCAGAGTAGAGTGGAAGAATGATTTCTCGTGTCTTGCTCCTATTAATGCATCCCAGAATCATGTTTGCTTTCTTTGCAACAGCGGCACACTGTTGACTCATACTTAGCTTGTGGTCCATTATGACCCCTAGATCCCTTTCTGCCGTACATTTTCCTAGACAGTCGCTTCTCATTCTGTATGTGTGAAATGGATTGTTCCTTCCTAACTGGAGTACTTTGCATTTGTCCTTATTAAAATTCATTCCTATTTACCTCAGACCATTTTTCCAGTTTGTCCAGATCATTTTGAATTTTGACACTATCCTCCAAAGCAGTTGCAACCCCTCCCAGCTTGGTATCATCTGCAAACTTAATAAGCGTACTTTCTATACCAATATCTAAATAGTTGATGAAGATATTGAACAGAACCCGTCCCAAAACAGACCCACTTGTTATGCCTTTCCAATAGGATTGTGAACTGTTAATAACTACTCTCTGAGAACGGTTATCCAGCCAGTTATGCACCCACCTTATAGTGGCCCCATTTAAGTTGTATTTGTCTAGTTTATCGATAAGAAGATCATAAGAGACCGTATCAAATGCCTTACTAAAATCTAGGTATACCACATCCACCACTTCTCCCTTATCCACAAGACTTGTTATCCTATCAAAGAAAGCTATCAGATTGGTTTGACATGATTTGTTCTTTACAAATCCTCCATGCTGGCTATTACCTATCACCCTATTGTCTTCCAGGTGTTTGCAGATGTCCTAGAGGAGAATAATTTTGGCGAAAAGTGAGTAATTCTACCCTTGTATTATTGTGTGCCTTTTTAAAATAAAGGCTATCATTTCATTTAGAATGTAATTGCCTATTCAAAGCGTTTCTAAACCCTTTGCATTGCATATGAGTAGGCCAATGTCTGCGCTGGCAGTCACTAGTTACAGGTCAATAATCATTCCCCCTCACATAGAAACTTGTTTTACAAAGAGAGAAAGTTCAGTTTTCTTCTGTTGTTTAACAAATGAGTTCTGTGTCCTTAATGACCAGCCATAGTCCAAAGGCGCAAACACTGTAACATTTAGAGGGTCAGCAACTCCTCTGCTGCAGTGAATATGTTGCTGGTTCTACATCTATTTCACCATGAAGTTTGGAAGTCCTCCTTCTCCTTGCTAAGGCTGCCTTCATTTCCCATGTATTACACTCTCTTGTTGCTCCCTTTGGAGTTCCATCCTTCAAAGGGCTGAGTGCTCTGGCTTGATCCAGCAAATCATTTCAGCACATTTCTTCCCATTAAGCACGCTGAAAGTCTCAGTGAAGTCAATGCTTTGATTGCTACAATGGGCTTACTTAGCTAGTCACACTCTTAAAGTTTCTGCTTCAGTGCTATGTTGGGTTGGGGCTTGAGAGCTCTGTACCTTGTTGGCTTCAGTTCATAGACTTCTTCTGCACCCAAATCTGGGTTGTTTTTCCTGCTGCTTCCTTCCCTGGGCAGATTACCTCTCATCTCTTGTCCACTGTGCATTCTCAATCTCTCCTGTAATACCAGCTTTTCCCTGACTCCCATACTTGTGAGCTCTACTCTGCTTTAAACTATCAGAATATGATTTGCTTACTCTAAAATGACTAATTTCTCTTACTTGGTCCATCCCTTGTCTTTGCCTTACTCCATGATTTGTCTGTTATCTCCACGTTCTCTATTTACCTCATTTAGGATTGTAGGCTTTTGGGGGCAGGGACCTCATTTCTTTTAATTCTGCAAAGGGTCCTAGAAAGTTAGCGTTGCTTTTTGCAGAGTCTGACCCCAGCATTGCACTGACCTTTGCATGAGCTTGAGTTTGTGCACCAGTCATAAAGTTTGTTTATTTAGCAGTTCCATTGGAAAAGCTGTTTATTAATATTGTTCGATAATAAAACAAATTTGGAAGAGTTCAACAGAAGAAAGTTTTATTAATTGATTTTTGGTAACAAATCACTCGAGGTCTGTTTTCATGAGGGTAATTTAATGTTGCTAGGATCCCTTACCAGGACCAAATCCTTGTATCTCAGAATTGACAATTATCCGTATTATATCCTTCACGTTGCAGTGGGTATGTTTAATGTACCACACTCGCACCTCCCTCTGCACACAGTTTTCAGTTCTGAATTTCATTTTGGAACTATTTGACTCTCTTGTGACTTGAATATTAGATTCTA